CCCCTGCAGCACAGATAGCAAGCAAGGTGAACCAACGGAGTGAAAGCCTAGACACCAACCTGGCAAACAGGGCTCTGGCTAAGGCCAGTCTCATTCTCCAGCCTCCAGAAAACTCTCTGAGAAGGGTAGAGATTGCAGAGAAAGGTTACAATTTAATCAGAATAACTCAAGTCCATTCAAATTTCGATACCCAGAGCCTGGAGACTTACTTGGTTGTCTGTTGCTGCATCTTTGCATTAAAGCCCAGCCCAGCGAGAATGACAGACGCCCTGGGGAAAAGCAGAGAGAACTGGAACACAGATACACCATCTGTCTGCAGAGCTCAGTCTGAGCTCCCAGACCCATGGTCACCACAGGCACTCTGCTACGTAGTTTACGGCCACCGTGGTGCAGGAAAACTTCCCTGCAGGCCCAAGAGCAGCATTTGGCTGCAAAACGCAGCCCAGGAAGACACAGCATCCACACTCAGTCCCAGGAGACTGACAAGAAGCTTTCAGCTCACTATCACCAGTATTCCAGAGCTACTCCCTAGACAGCAGGAATCTGGGGAGGTCTGAGTGGAGCAGCAGTAACAATGCCATTTGGGAGGAAAAAAAGCAACAACAAAACCTCCAGCTTCTAGGGAAGCTCAACTATCTCTAACACAGAAGAACTATGACAGAAGTAGAGAACAGAAGCAGGGAGAGTCCCCTGTCCCCACACACAGGATTGCAGGGCCACAGCATGGCCCTGCTGTGATCCAAACCACATCTGGCCATGGCAACAGACAGCAGTGCCACAGGGCAGTCTCACCTCGCCGGGGCCTTGTCTGCCTCAATCTCCTCCAGCTTGGCGTAGATCTCCGATAGCCTGGCACCTTCCGTCCCTTCTCCCCTGGAGCAGAGCAGAGCAGAGACAACAAGAGGTCAGGATCTGAGTGCTGAGGAGGCTGATCACCCCAAGCAGGACAAAGGCAGGCAAGACCTCATGGATAAAAGGCTGCGGAAGGGCTGGAAACCCAGCGATGAGCATCTCACCTGCCAGCATTCACTTTGGCCGTCAGCTCCTTTTCCTCCCTCAGCAGGCTCTCACGAGTGGTGTCACACTCCAGCACGCTCTGCAGGGCTGGCGTCTCATCACCTGCCACCTCCTGCTCCACGTGGAGGATGCTGATGTGTGAGGGAATGCGCAGGCTCCGACTGGCAATCATCTTCAGCAGCGTGGTCTTCCCCAGCCCGTTCCTGCCCACCAGCCCGTAGCGCCGTCCAAACGCCAGGTTCAGGTCTGCCCCTGCCAGCAGGACCCTAGAGCAGGGAACAGGCAGGTACCTGCTCAGACTGCCCCACGGAGAGAGAGGCAACCAGCGGCCACCTGCCCCAGCACCTTTCAGGCTGTGCTGAGGTGGGCCACGTGGCCTCCTGATCTTTCCAGTCATTCCCCACCACTCTCAGATGTGGACCTCACCTTGGTCTGAAGCCCCAGCCAGGGTCCATCCCACCTCCCCACCTGCACTCACCGCTCACCAAAGGAGACATCGAAGTTCTCGATGCGTACATCGTACGACTTGTTCTTGCCTGATGACTCCATGCGGGTCTCCTTCTTGCTGGCAGCTTGGCTGGCAGTCGCCTCCTCGAGGACTCTGCAGTAGGCAGAATGCAGAGAAGGGGCTCAATGGGAAAGCTCTGTGTGCTCACATCCCAGCCAGAGCAGCCTGGGGGTGCTGGAGGCACCGCTGTACTCACGGAGGGCCGGATGACTTCACAGAATCCCGCTCCATCCTCTTGTCTTGCTTGGCTTTCAGTTTGGCTTCAGCCTTCTCCAGTTTCTTGGCGTTCACCATCTGGGGCAAAAGGAAGTGTGAAAGCACATGTTCAGCAAAAGCCCCAAAAACCCAACTCCAAGTGAAAAGAGATCTGTCAGTCCCTCGTTCCTGGAAGGAATGGAAGGCAGAAGGGAGCTAAGACTGGGGAACTGGGACAGACTCAAGGAAGCTAACATGGCCATTACAGCACTTGAGGAATGCAGTCCTAAACCAACAGCTCGTATGCAACGGTCCGACCTCAGCAAGCAGTTGGCTGACCCCAACCTGTATGGCTCTTCCCCATGAGCCATTTCTCTGGTTTCAGGGACCTGAGTCAGCCAAGGCACTTCAACAACACCAACGTGCCTGAGGGTTGGACTAGATGATCTCCAGAGTTCATTTCCAACCCCCACGATTCCGCGATCCTGAGCTATCCCAGCACCTCCTTCACTCACCATACACCCACCCCAGCCAGCACCACTAAGCGGCGTTTCCCCTCCCCTGTTAAACTTTACCCAGTTTGGAATTAACTCAGGTTATGCAGTGGATCAATCGTGGCAAAGCCAAAAAACATTTAATTAAACCCAGAGGCAAGAAGCAGCCCAGTGTTTTAACCTGGCCTGCGATCTTGGCCAGGCTCTCAGCTCAATCCTGCATCCAGTCACATAGCTGTGGCTGACCGAGAGCACTCCCAGGTATTTCTAGGCAGCTCCCAGCCACAGGAGCACACTACAGACCTGCACGCTTGGCTGAGAGCATCTTGTTACTGCGGCTGTAGCCCAGTACCTACAGACACATTGAGTCACTCTGTAAGCAGTACAGAGCTCCTCAAACCTCCCAAGCAGGACGTGTCCTCCAATACCTGGGAGGCCTCCCAAGGCCTCCTCTGAATCTTTCCCAATTTCTCTGAAGATTATCTCTGAGTTGCAGACACGAGAACCAGACAGCGAGCTTGGGAGCGGCAGTCCCAGTGCCAACAGCAGCAGCAGCAGCCAGCTCCCCCCAAAGGCTCCCATTCACACGCACAGATATCGCGTTAGATCTCATCCTCCACACGAGGAGCTCCACGTGTGCCCCAGGGAGGGAGAGCACCACAACACACCGCACACAGCTGCCGCTGTCCTGGCTTTGTATCTGCACAACTGTCTCCATAGTTAAGCCCGGGGGCACCCAATGCAGAGCACAACCTGCCTCGCATCTAATCGCTGCACGGGGTTCAGCTCTCACTGAGCAGGACAAGAAGCACTCCTGTACATTGTAGTCACTCAATCAAAGCTGTACTGAAGAAGCCAAAGTCCTTCCCGAAGTTAGAGATGCTGCACTCTGAGCGTTACTGCCTGACTGACCATGCTTTGAAACTCATTAAGATAGAGGAAAATAAAGCTCACCAAGTTAATGACCTGTTAGCTCCCTCTGAACCTTTCCGCAGTCAAGGCCAAGAGCTTCACCAATGATGCAAAGGCACAGCTCCCCTGTACCTCCATGCTCCACTGCTACCTTTGGTTCTGGCCAACCGCAGCACGTGAGGGGTCCAAAGCAGGCCACAGAGCTGCAGCCCCATGCAAGGGTTACCCCAGCAGCCCACCCACAGGCTGCAGCCCTTGCTTACCGACGTCTGTCCTCTCTTCAGCAGCAACCCTGGCAGCAGGTCCGTGCTGGCATCTGTGAGGGGATGGGGGGGGTGAGTGGTGGGGTCCCCTCTTCTGAGGAACTGGGAGGTAAAGGATGGGGGGAACGAAGGATGGGAGATACGGAGGACTGAAGGACAGAGGATTGAACAACAGGGGACCGAAGGCCAGGAGAACCCAGGGACGAAGGGACTGAAGGATAGCTTCCATGCATCCCAGCAGTTCAGCCCCAGGACAAGGCAGAGGGGTGCGGGGTTTGGGAGCCAGAGCCGGGGCTGAGCTGCCCCATCGAGCCCCCCCGAGCCCTGCGGAGGAGCCTCAGCCCGCCGCCACCCCCCGGCCGCCGCTCACCGTATCCGTCGGTGATCTGGGAGAGCTGGATAGGGGCGTCCAGAAGCACCTGGCTGCAGCGCTGCGCCCGTGCTTCGTCCCTGCGGGAGAGAGGAGGGTCGGGAGGCCCCGGAGCCGCGGCCGGGCGGGGCGGGGGGCGGCCGGGCGCTGCTTACAGCTGGAGGCAGTTGAAGAGGCGCTGGCACACCTCGCGGATGGCCCGCTCGTCCTTGCCGTCCCGCGACACCTCCTGCAGCAGTTCGCCCACCGCCTCCACCAGCTCGTCCACCGACTCGAAGTCCGCGCCGCTGCTGTGCAGGATCCCTGCGGGCACGCGGCGCTATGCCTATCGCGACACTATTCCTATCGCGCTACAACCCACGGGCGGCCCCCCTCCCCCGAGAGGCTCTGTCGCGACTCCTCCGAGACGGGGCGGCGCTCACCCGTCACGTAAGCGAACACCTCGCCGTCCAGCTCCGGGAACTCGCTGCGGAGGATGTCGGAACACGACGCCATAGCGCGGCGGGAGCGGGGCCCGGCCCCAGTGCTGCCGCACGGAGCCCGGCCCCGCGGCACAGGCGGAAGGAGCGGCGGCGGCGGCGAGGCGCGGGGGCTGCCGGGAGAGCGGCGCCATGTTCGCGGGGGGTGCTGGGAAATGGAGTCCTAAGAGCGCGCGTGCGCGGTGCGGGACACGGGAGCGCGCTGCCACGTGGGGCGCTGGGCACCGAGCGCCGGTGGAGCGGCGATGGAGTTTCCCAGCGCAGCCACTGGTATTTTATTTTCGTTGTTGTTTTCGTTTTTACAGACGTGCTCCGGCAGCAGGCTCACAGAAAAGACGGAGCTGCCCTCCTCGTTCTGCGGCGCTGTGTCCGTGCTCAAGCACTCCAAGCACAGCACTTCCCCACAGCTGCCGAAAAGCACAGGGGACAAAGCAAAACCTTGGATTCTTCCAGCTGCTAATACGTGCAGGCAGCCGGAAGCGCATTGATCAGGCAGTAAGAAATGCAGGTTCAGCCCCACTGTAGCTTTCAGGAAGCTAGGAGCCTCCCAGCATATACCAGGCTGCTATGGAAGCCACTGCTGGAGCTGAGCACCAGCACAGTTGGAAATAAGCCCTGGGAATGCTAGGAATACAGGCACTCCTTCATTTCACTTATCTACCTCTACAGCAGCCCAGAGCTGGGCAAGCAACAGAAGCACGGCCCCAGAGCACAGCCCACCTCTTGTACCACCACTCCTCCCACAGAGCAGCACAGGCAGCCTTCTCCGTTCTACATACTTTATTAGATTCAGAGCTGGACAAATCACAAAGTGTACAAAATGGAGACCACACTACCAGAAGCGGGACTGTGGGTAGCAGCAGCATTCCTATGGCCCATAAGCATTTGGTAGAAGTGCGGAGAGGGCAGGCTGGGGCAGGGGGCTCTTAGTGCCAGTTGCATTTTAGATTCCAGAGGACAGACCCTATTCACATCCTGACAAGAGCTCAGCTGACCCACACCCCCCGGGATGGAGGTGGCCTTATTTCCAATTCATTTGGAAAGGAACGACTGGCTCGAGCCAGCAGTGGGTTGGGGTAAGTGCTCTATGGACCTGAAATGCTGTGCCACCCACATACACACCAGCAAGAGTCTAAACCCTCATCCTAGTTTGGTCACAAACCTTCCCAAAGCAGGACTCTATACTGAAGACTTTGCAAGAAATAACAAGGCGGCAAGATCCAGGGAGCCCACCGCCTCCTCTGGCAGAAGCCCAACAAACTCACCACCTCAGGCATCCCAGACTGGCCAGCAACATCTACCACAACAGCAATAGCTAGTACAGAAGCCAGGGTAACTTCAACTCAGATTTGTCCAGTCTATGTTTAGGTCTATTCTACGAGTACATATGCACAAGAACTTCAAAAATACTAGGATATGATGCAAGTAGTGAGACACCAACAGAAGAGCAGTTTAATGGTGGACGTTCCCTAGAAAGATCACGAGAGGATGGGAGTTAGACTAGCCCTTCCCCACCCCGGGACAGGGAGCAGGAGGCTGACTGCACCCCTGCACACAACCTGATCCTGAACTTCAGTTGCAGCTCGGGTGGTAACTGAGCACAGGCAGGAGAGTCTGCTCCCAGGTGGGCCACGGGGTCAGCCGATCTGCATAAGGGGCCAGGCAGATGTTCTCTGAATGTACTTGAAGACTGAGATGTGGAGGATGGCTTGGAGAAGAGGGAGCCTGCCAGCCCGCTGGGGCTAGCACCTGGTCTCGTAGATCCCACTCCTGCCAATGTACCTCACCCATTTTATCACATCGTGGTCACTGTAGTTCAGCTTTGGCTCAAAGACTTTCAGATAACGCACCTTCAGCCCAGAGGGCGCAAATGGGACCTAATGAACAAAGGAAAGGCAGCAAATCAAGTTGGAACACGGCGATAAGATACTCTCCATACACAGCCACCTGAGGACCTCTAGGCTAAGCATCCACAAACGGACTCAAAGAGCCACCCCTCCCCACACGCATGGTGACAGACCCCAGTGGCTGTAGGGACAATACTCTTCCACTAGCTTTGACACCTGGCTGAGCTCACGCTAGGCAGAGTTGCACAACGGCTGGGGACAGGGAGCACTCAGAGCTGTGCAGTTCCCAGGAGGCCAAAAGGGGCTGGGCTGACAAAGCCTCTCTAAGGTTAGCAGCACCTTGGAAGGAAACAGGGACTCACCTCAAAGTTCATGGAGATGGGGGGCCGAGCCCACTTCTTCTTGTCATTGGTGGGCAGCAGCTCAATCTCCGCACTGATCTGGGATTCCTTCATTCCAGCCATTCGTTTTATCCTACCAGAGAAAGCACAGAAGTGACAAGGTGCCCAAGATAGTTCTCCATAACACGTGCTCGGTGCAGATGAAGACTGAGCAGACTGCCTTCCCAGACCCTCCCCACACAGCACCCTGATCAGCATGCTCACTTACTTCCACACAATGGCATTCTCACTAGCCTTGTACTTTGCCTTCCCTTTCATGCAGATAACCTGCACTCCACTCGTATTGAGGGGTGTTGGGATCCGGACCTGGAAGGCAGAGGATAGAGAACAGAAATCATACTGTAGCAGGAGCACTCTCTTCTTCCACAGCACAGCAGCACCACCACACATCCGTAAGCACTCAGCTCACTTCAGTCCTGTGCAAGTATGAAAACTCTTTTGTGAGGACAACACAGCAGGGGACAACAAGCAGAGAGACAGAATAGGCCCACAGCTTACCTCTATCTTCTGGGCCAGCAATGAAGGTTTGAAATTTGATTTGATCACCACCTTCACTTCCAGTTTGGTCCGACCCACCTCCCGCACCAGGGGGATCACACGGAAAGGAAGGATGATGTCCTTAGTGGTTCGGTATCTGCAGGTACAAAAGGAGGAGTTAAACTCCCTCAAGCTCTCAAATTACACCAACTTCCTACAAAGACAGCCTCTGCACGCTGAGCACGCTAACAAGCAAACAAAGAAAACCACGCAGCTATGTTTCTACCGCATCTGTAAGATTAGGACTTACAGAACAATCTACAGATTGCACTTTGCAGAGAGAGAAGGCAAGCGTAGCATGGCCTAGTGCTCGAGGACTGCAAGTCTGCCCAAGACCAGCAGCACCACTGCAGCAGCAAGCTGCCAATGCCAGCCTGGCCATCCCCCACACCGTACCTCATGAGCTCAAACTCTCCATCCGGTGGAATGAAGCTGATGCTCCTCTCAGAATCAAACTTGCTGAGCCTCACACACTGGTGGAAAGTGCAGTCATCGATGGCGATCGACTGTTTGCCACTAAAACACAAAAGAGAGTTAAACAGCTGCAAGCTACAGTCCCTGTACCTTGGCACAGTTGAAGTTTGCTCAGGCAGAAACTATTCTACAGAGCGTGTTGCCATTGCAGGTGTCCAGGAAATGGGGAGGCAGGGAGAGATTTAGGGGACAGCAGCCTCCTGGCTCAGACTTCCCTTGCTTTACCACTAAAGTCATATTTCAAGGCAATTGCTTGAAACAATTCTCCCCCTCCTCTCCCCAAAGCTGAGACACTTCTGTTGCAGCCAGAGGAACACGATGCTCAGGTCTGCCTGCCAGCAGCACCTCGGTGCTGCAAGGGAACTCTGCTAGCCCAAGTCTTCTTGCAGCACAGTAACAAGAAAACACTTTCCTGTCCACAAAGCTATCCCACTGCCACAAGCTAGGAGATGCGAAGTTCAGGCTCTTCTTGTTTGGAAATCTCTGCAGAGCTGTTGATTTCTACACTACTAGCAAGTGATCTGATTCCAGAGGGAAGCCCTTGTTCTCAGGCCAGCACAATAATCAACTTGCTGAGGACTACAACTTGTGCCATGATATCTAATCTACCCAGCTATCATCTATGCATTTAGGTTCACTAGTTTAGCCTGACAGCACTCAGCTTGTGTTGAATTCCAGTAGCTAGGAAGATATTCTCAGGGCTAGGTTCTACAATTAGCTAAGAACTCATTTTATCTACTAAAAGGGACCATAAAAATGAGAATTTAGCTGGCAGCAGAAGAGGTAGAAGTACAGAAAAGTGCTGCAACACAGTGCTGTGACACCTAGGCTGCCTCAACTGCTACAAGCAACAGGGTGACCGTGCCAGTGTGCAGACAGTATACATAACAGGCAGGTTCCTAAGAGCCACCATTACCTGCACAAGTGGGAAGCAGACTTACCCCAGGCTGACTGTCTGATCAGTTTACACAAGCCATTGGTGTAGCTTGTGCCTCACAAGTGGGAGTCAGTTGTTCCTGATCTGTTGCCCAGTCAACATCAGCAGACAAGTTCCTTGGTTTCTACAGAACACTGTAGGGAAAGCCACACTGCCTACCAGTGCCCAGGTCTCAGGCAGCATTAGTTGGGATGTGACACTGCCACATACCACAAGCCAGAAAGCAACTGGCAGCAGCTGCTCCTTTGGGTCACTTCTGCTAAATACTTCTAGACAGTGACATCTCCTGCCTGTTGCCTGCTGGAGGACCACGACTGGGCAGAACCACCCAGCAAGAATCCCTGTCTGTTCTGCTTCTGTAACTGAAGAAATCAGCACACTTACACGTGAAAGCACTCACAGCACAGGAACTCTAGGCAGTGCTGCTGACTCTTCAGAGGCCTACACAGGTATTTTACCTGGGGTATTCCCCCACCCACTTGAGGCTCATTCATTTTATTGGCTAGATTCAGTTACAAGAAAGACAGCTTAAAAGTGACAGTGAAGTGATAGCTCTTGGTTTGGTTCTGAGATAAAAGGCAAATAGCAGCTCAGCTGTTTATGGGAACCATCTAGGAAAGTGTCTGAGGTCTGAATTACATGCACAAGTCACACAAAGCAAGAGACAGGGAGAAGAGCAGAGTGCACACAGTTGAAGCAGATTATCTACCTTCCCAATTCACTGGGGGGTCAGCAAAAAAAAAACAACAACAAACAAACACAAACAAAAAACAACAAACAAAATGACAAAAGAAACAGCTCAGTCAAAAATGGTTAGTGGGAGAAAAGTGAGTCCCTTTGCTTCCCCCTCTTTTCCTGCCCTCCTGTTCGAGAAGAAGGCATAAGACCCATCTTCAGCTCTAAGGTGCATACTGACTGAGGCATATTTGGAAGGAAGGCAGCTGGGCTCCCAGAAGTGCTGAGTCTCCAGCCCATACAGCCACCCGTGTGACAGCAGCAGGTGCTTGCACATTAGCTTGTCCACCATTCTGATCTATAAAAACAATCCGGGTGGAACAGGCTACTGTCAGACGGGCTCCTTCCCTGTTCCTTGGGAAGGCTGGCTACAACCTATAAGAGGATTCTGTACTGACTACAGCTGCTAAAGACCAGCTCTGGGAGAATCCACCTTGAGAGAACATTTCCAGATACAAAGAGCCCATACTTATCATTACGCTTGAATTTTAAAGATGACAGCCCAGAGCTGCTGTTGTACAGACACGAAGTCAGTCACCCAAAACATGGAAGTCATTCCACATTCTCACACGAGTCCTGCTATACAAAAACCTTCTGATCTGGGCCCCTAAGTTCACTAGCTCACATAGCACAGACCAACTCACAGAAGAATCAACAGTGACAGCTGAAGGGAAAAAAGGTAAGTTGCTTCTGTCAGATCAGACACGCTACCAAGCACTGCCCTCTCATAAGAGTCCCAGGTGGCAAATACCTTTTACCACATGCCTCTCACCTTTTCCCCGTTTCATCCGCAGTCCCTTTGCCCTGTTTTTCAATGACAATCTTGTCATTCATGCCAAACTTGCACTCTGGCATCCCACTCAGGTAACTCTTCATCACCACTCTGCCAGAGACGTGGGCACTCAAAACCTGACCTGGAGTAGAAAAGAACACAGTTCAGAATACTTAAGCACTCAACAATTCCTCAAACCAGGAAAAAAAGACAGCTTAACAGCTCCCACTTACCTTGGGGGGACATCAAGAGGTTCACACTCTCCAGCACATCAAGGAAGAGTTCATTGCGACGGTATTTGATCCCTTCACGTCTCCACCCAATCTGTCCAGTCACCTGGCTGGTGATCTGGGACTGCTCTTCCTTAGTCTGAAGGGAAAGAATCACACCCTAAGACTCTAGATAAACTGAAGGACTAAGAAAGCTTGTCATAAACCAAAAAGAAAGCACTTGCCATTTACAGTACACAAATACTTTTGATACTTAAGACTTCAAGCGTAGTGACACACCTGACAGTGTCACAAAAGCATTCCTTCCTCGGCACAGGAATCCTACGCCAAACTAAACATTAGTCAGAGACAGCAGGAAAGCTGCTTCCATTTTGTTAGCTGCACGTTAGGCCACATTTCGGTGTGAGGAGTACTGGGCTAAACTGATGACATTCAAACCACACCTGACACGTCAATCTATAAGTAAGAGAGACAGGGCAGTTTGCACCCTTACCCAACGTCAGACCCTAGGGCCATGAGGCAGCTGGTACCAATGACTGCAGCCATTATCATGCCATTTGGGACAGCAGTTGTGCTCCAGCACTAGCATAACACACACCTGACAGCATCTGTGCTCTAAGCCTCCTATGAGCATTAAGGAGTGTGCTGAGAGGCACCAGCAGGTTTCCTACCTGATGCTATAGGCGGGGTCCAATCACACGCAGAAAGTGAAGAAGTAGATGTAGAGCAGCAAGTGTGGTGTACACAGGGTTAGACAGGCAAGCAGGTCAATAGCAAGAGAAGGAGGAAGGGAGAAAGAGGCAGGTTAGGCTTAAGGCTACCTCAGGGCAGGAACAAAGCAGGCCAGCTCGCTGCTAATTAGGTAACAAGTCAGCACAAACAAGACAAGGAGCTTTAACCTCTAGCTCAGAAAGCACAGCAACCTTCCTAGCAGTGAAAAGTCTTTTCAGACCCGGCCCATGACATACCACCCCAGTGCAAAGTAGGACAGAGGAGACGAGCCAAATACCACTCCCAGTAGTGGACTCCGTTCCTAAAGCAGCTGTGGATGTTTACCACGGCACAGATGCCTGATGTCAGGACATGGCACCCAGGGCTGCAGGCATCTTAATAAAACCCAGTTCTGTAAGAAGTTGTGTCCTTGTCGATCCGGCCTCTTCCACCAGAGTGGAGTAGAATGGCAAGGTGGGTCCTTCCCCGGCAGCCTTGCACAGGGCCCACAGGGTGGCAGCACACGACCACAGTTTAAAGCCAGTGGTGGCTTTGTTCTCGCCAGGGTCGGTCACTCCTTGAGCAAACAGAGCCATTATCAGAACGCTGACAAGGGAGAGTGTTCTGTACTCCACTGGGAGCTGCCTAGGCAAGTATTCAATGCAGTACGAAATATTTCTCCCCAGACCACCAGCTCTGGAAAGACCACTGTAACCACAAAACGTGGAGTATTCAATTATTCACTGAAAAGGAAAAAGGCTGAGTTTAGAAATTCTGCCACAAATGCAGATTTTGTTCCTTTAAGTCAGTGGGCCAAGGAAAATATCATCATGAACTAAGCAGAGATAAAAGAACACGGATAACAGATGACCCGGTCCCAGATTTTAGCCTGACCTATCTGTCAGAAATTGGCTGTATGTGAAAGAGGAATTTGAGGCTCGATGTGCCAGAGTAAATAGCAGACATGGAAACATGGAAAATTCCATTTCCATCGCTCCCCCTGAAATACTACGTTTGGAAAGGATTGCTTCTGCTCTTTTTGAGCTGGGATGCACAGAACTCCAACAGAGCAGATAGCTGCGGGCTGTGATTTATCAACAGCCATAGATCAGAACTCTTCTCTAAAGGGAAAACACCAAGCCTATTGCTGAGCAAGGTAAGGTGCCCTGGCAGTAATGTGCACACAAAAGGCTTATAACAAAAACAGACAACAGCAAAATAAATAGGGAAGGAAGTGAGGGTGGTAGAGCTTTGCTAGGAACAGGAGCTGACTCAGCTGCCTTGAGTGCTGACCATCCAAAATGTCAGACTGCAAAAGGCCAAACAGATTTATGCTAGGGTTCTGAATAGGAGACTGGGACCGGATGCACTCACATCTGGCTACTGATACACACGTGCCCTCTTGCAAAACACTGCTGTTCTAGCAGAATATATGCTGCTCAGAGGCAGCTCCTCTCTCTTCCCCTCAGTTTCTTGAGATACTGAGTCTTACTTAGAAGACTAAAAGGAGTTCTTAGGAAGTCAGTGCTAATAAAATAAGCTAAAACAGAGCCTACAGAGTCTTTGACCTCTGCTTATCCTCAGTCACCAGGCAGCCTCCTGTTGAACACTTCATTTCTGCTTACACCTTGGGGCTGAAATTTCATACAGATCTACTCTGCAGACAGCTTCAGACTGACTTCCAGGTTCTCCTTGACTCACTTACTAAATAGATGATAGAACTGAGTATTAGGTTAAGTCCTCATTATAAGTCGCATGGCTTTGTTAGAAGAACAAACAAGCAACGTGCCCAGGAACACAAGAAACAGTAACTACAGCAGTCCTTTTGTTTCACAGATGTTGAACATGAGTTGGGATGAGAAACCTAGTTTTGAGGAGTAATCTGCAGCAATAAGAGCTAATTTGAAAAACATTTCCTCAACAGTCCAACTTGTCTTTTTCTCCTCAGGAGCAATTTATCTTCTAGCCCCACGTAAGCTTTGCTGCAAGAATTACTATCGTAACAGATGTGCAGTGGAGAATCTCACCTCTAACACGAGAGATCCCAGACTGTAAGGATGCATCTTCAGCAACAGAGTAACATCACCTTCCTGACTGCCAGCAAGATCCAGAAGGCTGAAGAATGCTTCATTTCAAAGACAGGCACGAAAGTCTGATAGCTAAAAGCAGCAAAGACTTGCAGAGAACAGGCCTGCTCAGTGAGAGCCATGCACAGGGCAGCTATTTCTGGTTCAGCAGGCAGATGTATTTATCCTGTGTCAGAAGGTGACACAGATCAGTACTTGAAGGCAGTCATCATTTACAAGCGAGGGACTGTCACCACCCTAACACAGGGCCCTTCCTCTCACATCTCATCAGGTGTCAGACAGCATGGTGTTTCTCAAGTGACTCTGGCACCTCCACCCAGTACAGGTCAAACAGCTGGGTAGTTAGCTGCACTTTCTCGAACGAGTTTACAGAAGATTAGCCAGCAGAGCAATGCTGTACCCCAAAATCCCTCTGGTTACCTGACTCTTGATGCCTTGCTGAGTGATGAAGGTCTTCAGGGCCCCCGTTTCAGAGTTCTGAGGATAGCCAAAATCCAGGATTTCTACAAGAGAGTAAAAGACAATCAGCTCAGAGCCACCAGACAGAAGTGCAACAGAGACACGCCAACAACATCAACAACCACAGTAAGGAAAGGGTTACAGAAGAACCAAGTGCAAAATCATACAGCAAGCTGAAGGGAAACATCTCACCGTCCAGCAGCTCATAGATGAGCACGAAGTTGTTCTTTATGTTTTCTTCACTGATCTTTCCGAAGTAAGCAGTCATCACGTCACACATCTTGTACAGAAACTCAAACACCATGGCAGCGTTGACGTTCTGCTTGGTGACAGCAGCCAGCCAGATGTTGGAGCGTTTGACGTGGAAGAAACTCGTGCGGGCGATGTTGGTGACCGGCGAGCGGACCTGCTGCCGCGCGTGGATGACATTGACGCGGAAGGCGTCCACGGCATTGCGCCTACGAGGCCAAAGAGAAGTCACCACCACGTGCACAGAAACAGGCAGCTGCACAGCTCTGCTTACGTGAATACAGTCAGACATCGAGCTAACGCACCCGGCTTCCTTTGGATAAGTCCTGGGGATGTCACAGCCAACAGGGACAAATGAAGGCTCTGAGCAGAGTTGCACGTTAAAACTCCGTACGGACTCGAGGAAATAAAGCTAGTGGTCTCTGCAGTTTTGAATGACAATTCTAATTGCAGGCAGAAAGAGAAGATAACCCCATCTGGAGTTACATGGCAGAGAAAACCTTCCTTCTGCTTATTTTGCTGATCAGTTACCATAGCCAAGAATGAACACTAAAAAAGGCTGTGGCTCAAAGAAGAGTCTGGTTTTGACTGGGCTACTTAGTGTCTAATCTGCACGCCCAGGCCTTCATACTCTTGCCCCAAAACAAAGCTGCAGTCTCCCCTGATAGGACAGTACCCCCAGATACACCTCTGAGTTCAAAAAACCAGGATAGCTGCCCAGGTCACCCGATAGATGTCAGTGCCTGCACACACCACAAAGGGCAATTTTAATTCTCAGATTCATCTCACCTCCACATCCCAGGTACCATGGAGGGCAGGCTGAAAGCAGCAAGCAGGATTAGGAACGTTTCTGACTTCCCAGTTACATGTCCTTTCTAGCCTGCTATGCCTCAGAGCTACTCTTGCAGACAGTAGCAGCACTGCATTATGTGCACTGGAAGATCCAGTACCACTTGTGATGGGAAGGAGCCCAGCACAATGCAGAAAAGGTGCTGTGCAAGTTTTCCCCAGCCACTAACATCGTTAATCTGAGCTAGTTTCACTATACACCACCGACAGGGAACAAATCAGTCCCAGCTAAACATGGATGTCTGCATGATACTCTGGATGTTAGCTTTCCCACACTATAGAGTTTTTTCATCCTGTAGCTACAAGTCAGGATAAGCTCCCCAAACTAAGTCAAAATCCACTAAATTTAAGAACATTGGAAGGAAGTCTGAGGGCTTCATGTAACAGGACAGACTTAAAAGCAGTAGTCCACATACCAAGCCAAGACACATCTAGTGCTTTATTACTCATATCCTTCCTTGAGATTACGTAGTACAACAGGGGCTCTCCTCACTGCAGTGTCAAGGGCATGGTACCAATTACCCACACCATGTTTGAGAGCAGGTAGCAGTAACACCCTTGCAAGCAAGGCTGCACGCAAATGCTCATCACAGTCCAGCAGGCAGTTCCAACTTTGAAAACAAAGGATATTCAGAAGAACATACATTATCATAGTAGGTATTCTTTCCTAGCAGAAGCCTCTTCAGTAAACACCCTCCCTTGTAAGCAAAATTCTGGTGTTCAAATATCTCCCAGGCTTTACAGCTCCAGAAGGCTTGTAGATTTGATTTAAATTAGTATCTGCTTCCCGCCACCCCTTACCCCCTCCCCAAGAAAGTAGTTAACCTACTGTAGAACAAGATCTAGAAGTCCCATTCCTCCCCTCCAGTAAGCTTTTCAAGGAAAGTTCTACTTTCTCTGAGTGGCAGCCCTCCCAGCCTCAGGTCCTAACCCACTAGCATTAGTGCCAGAACCAGCAGTCAGACTGGTGTGTGCTACAGGAGAAGCCTCGGGTCAGTGAAGCTTCTCTAGCACACTGACTGCCCCCTGCAATGCCAGTCATGGCCTACCACGCGTCTCTTACCTATTGCTACAGCAGCCAATGAGATGGGATGGACAGAAATGGCGCCAGCGGAGAAAGGAGGAGTGACAGCAACAAGAGAAAGGGTTAGAAACACACACACAAGGCACAATGAATCCAAAGAGATAAGGAGAGACCAAACAGCACCCCCTCCCCCTGGGCACAGAAGGCCTAGGAAGTACTGGCTGGGAAGTAACAAGCTGTGGCAGCAACAAAGCCCTCGCATGGCACAACACAGACACGCCATGGTCAGACTGCCAGTGTCACAGACTGGCGTTTGGTTGAATTTCAGGACTAATGGGGCCTTCAGTCCACGTCACAGCTCGGATATCTAGGCTGCTCTGCTAACGTGGGGCATGCCTCGGGGGGAAAAAAAGGAAAAAAAAAGGAAGTGAACCCTCAGTGTGAGGCACAGCCCAGAGATCACAGAGTCCCAGGTTTCCTTTTTCTGGTGTGCCTCATAACAGCTGCAGTCTGAGCAGGCATTGCTATGGCACTGCTCTCATTGGAAGCTGTTTGGGTTGATGCCTCCTGGGTTGGTCCAGCCACCAGGAAACACAGCGAGTTAGACAGAGCTTGGAGCACATCTGGAGAGATATGGCACATTTCTCAGATTCAGACACTGCTCGATCCAGCTTGCACTTTTTCCTTAAGGATCAAGAGCCATGAAGCAGAAATGATGTATTAGAAGCTCAGAAACCAAATTCCTATTTAAAGTGCATGCAGTTTGTCATGTAAGCTGCTCAATTTCAAATGGCTTTTTTTTTTTTTTTTAAATCAAATAGCTGCATTTTTAAAAGCAGGTGAGTTCTCCCAGAGACAATGTCACTGAGAATCAAGACGTTTATGGTCACAATAGAGCCCTCCATGGTATCCTGAATTAAATGCGTGGCACTTTGCTCATATCTTTAAGAGGCTGTTCATGCATGCAACTAGCTGCTGCACAGATAGATGCACTACATGCACTGAAGCCATTCTCCTAAGCTGCAAGCAAAGAAAGCCCAAATTCTGTGGGGACTGTTTTCTGCCTATATCAAAGTCAAGGGAAGGACTTCTTTGACTGTCACTTTGCTCATTTGAGCTAGAATGTGCTTATTTAGACCCTTTAACTACGCAATGGGAGATGCTCTCATTACCATGGATAGCTTTTAATCTCTCCCAGCACACAGGCTGAGGCTTCAGAACATCAAAGGCAAGTGCCAAGACCAGGGAGTCTTACAGGTCACTCACTCCGTACCCCTATGAAGACGACAGCAGCTCTGCCTATGTCCCATTCAACCTACCTCCCTGCAAGCCAGATGGGCTCAACTCCCTGCACTTCAGATCCATCAATTAAGAATTAAAAGACTGCAGTATTGTAGAAATCTATCAGAGCTTGCCTTAGAGACAAACTTCCACAGAGGAGAGCAAAAGCTCACCCTCTGAAGGTGAGGTAGGGCACTTAAAAGCTTCCAAGTATGCCTGGTATTGATGCTCACATTCAGAAGAGGAAATAGTGGATATCCAACTTCACTTGCTTGCTGTAGAGCTCTGATACTGTTACTTGGTATCAAAGTAAGACAAGTCATAATTGTTCTAAGAGCACTTGCTTTTATAAGGTTATAAAAGTCACAAACTGGTTTTGAAGGCCAGTTTCAGAAGGAGTCCAACACCTGAAGGAATAAGCTCAGTTAACAGCCAGCTCCTGCTCCACCTGAGTCACAGGACTGACACCAAGACACTTTCACAAAAATGGGATGAAAGATTCACTGAAAGCAACACTAACTCCTAAAGTTCTAGAGAACATCTGGATCTTTTGGGCACCTATAACTGAAAGAAAAAGATAAGACTGGGTCAGGTAGGAAATCCAATTTTCTAGTTTCGCCCCACCAGATATGTAAGAAAGTACTTCTTATTAAGTCACTCCAGAGGGAGAACGAGCCAAGACAAAAGTTATGGAAGATCACTACATTGAAATATGTAACTCTTCAGCTTATACTTAGAGGGCCAGGATGCCTTTTAAATTAAAAGTGTCAGTTCAAGTACAGAGTAATCAAAGTGCTTTAAGTCTGCAAGCCACAGAAAACTCAAGACCTCACTGCCAGGAACTGCAGCAACAGTGCCTCTAGCCCCACATACAGCACATTCTCAAAATTCATCAATAATCCAACCTACCTTCATTCAGTCACCACAATACCCATTAATTAGGGGAACCTCACAGATCTGGTACAGGAATTGCTCTGAGGAGCTTCAGCTAACAGACTGGCAACAGAATGTTAGAGTTAACACAGCAGAGACAGAAGCTCCATAGCCAGCAGTTCTCTGCTTCAGCAGTACCAACGTTCCTCGGCTCAGCTCTCTGTGGAAGATTTGAGGTAGTTTGGCCCTACTTTGAACTGCTACCTTGCTCGGCTTTAGTCAGCTTAGAACGAGTCAAGAGATGCTTAAAGCTCACTAGGTGAAGCCTTATTACAGATAACACTGACCACTACTGTCCCATCAGTGAAACTACAGAACCCTTCAGGAGCTACTTTCACTCAGCTTTAACCTCCACTAGGCAATTCATACCCAGAAAGGAACTTAAGTGAGCAATGTCAGCCCTTACGTGAAGCACAGTGACGTATCCACGCTTACTGAAGTGTTTCAGAGCTTCCCACAGCTTTAGTTACCTGACACACACCAGGCTGGCGTAGAATTGGGGCACAGAACAGAGTACAAGGGTGGCTACTATGAAACTGCTGATAGCATCAAAGTGCCAAAGACCAGAGGCAGTCTTCTGCCTGCACTCAGTGCTGGACACCTGAGCTGGAAACTCACTCAGAGCCCTGGTTACAGCGCATGGCAGACAGTTCCCACATTGCTCCTCCCTTAATGTTTTAACAACTACAGTGAGGCTGGCAGACTCCTGCAATGGCAGCCTATGTTGTTGAAGCACTTGGACTAACAGCCATGTCTCTAAATACAGAAAGAAGTCCTGGCTTTGCCTGCAGGTTATCCTTTACTGCCATTGGCAGGTGATCTGGGCTTAGTAAGCTCAGCTATTTCAGAACTAGGCCTAGAGCAGCAAATTGAGTTGCAGTCTTACATGCATGCACAGCTAATGCAGAACAAAGCAGCTCTAGGTTGTTGTCTGCACCAAAGTTAGACAGAAGTGCAAAGAGCAAGGATGCAATGGAAGCACTTACCCAATGTCATCCCGGTAGACTCGAGAGATTAAAACCTCTCCTTTATGATTATAGATGAATAAGCCTCCAATCATGATGGAACTTTAATCTTCTCTTCCCATGTTGGTTAAGACCTGGAGCAAGAGAGCACACACGTTAGGTTGCACGATGACAAACAGCAGGGCCTGGAACCACAAGCAAGCCAGACTCTTTATTTCTACTACAAAGCATGCATCCCTGCAGTGGAGATACAAATTACATCACTGTACAGCAGGGAAATCTTCACAGCAAGTACACATTGGTTTAATCATTGCTTGCCCAGGAAGACTGCTTAACTTTGAAGAGATAACAGATTCCACAGCAGCAGCCACTGATCTCGTTGCTCCAGTTGCTGGACAAGACGCAATCAAGCTCCTAGAAAGATTTCTCTAACCATTCAGTTTTGCAGATTATTTAAGCAGCATCCTGACCAAGTTCCACACACCCCTGCTTGGGATCACAGCTGCCCCATAGGATAGGCTGTCTTAGTACCTACAAAAAGCTAGCAGTTGTCTAAAAAGCTTGCCTGGCTAATGACAATGGCTTGTTCAGAGTCTTGCTTATCCATAAGCTAGCAACACTGCACATCAAGACCGTAAGTAGAATGCTACTTCAATAAAGCAAAAGGTGATAGGGAACTGTCACAATGCATGTGGAGTCTATGTGCTGCTCTAACTGCTTTCACAGCTTAGAATTGGTATCTTGAGCTTGGGTTCCTGGACTTAATTTCTAAAAGCATCAGCAACTTGCCCTCAAGATAGACAGATGCAGTACAAACTATGATGAGCAGAGGAGAGGAGTCACTCAAACTAAGCTACAGAATACTATGATCTAGCAGTGTTACAGCCTTTCCTGTACCTTAGCAGCAGTGCTGAATAACACCTGTGAGCTTTGCTTCAGAGTCAAAACATAGTCTGCACAACAAGCCATGAGAGCAGATCTCAGTCACGAGGCACTTCAAGCAGGGGTGGTGCCTGATGTTACCCTCTCAAACTGCTAACCTTCTCTTTCTGTAGATTGCTTTAAGGAGATCTGCATAGCCAGTACACCCAACAAAGGCAAACAGCCTCTTTTTCTTCCTCTCCAAAGCACAGTTACTTTACCAGAGCCATTCCTGTAGTCATACACACTCCCACTTCACCTCAGCCCCAGGCACAATGCCCACTCACACACGTGGCTGGTTTGCTCAGCCCAGGGAAGAGCACTGCACACGTGACAGGGCAGGTCATGTAGCCAGGCCTTGGGACAATCACCTAGAACACGAGATAACCAACCATGCCCACACTGCTGTTTGGGAGATTAGCCTCCACCCACTTGTCTGGGGTGGGTGGAAAGGATAGGGAGGGTGAGCCTAGAAACAGATGCTGAGGGCAAACTGATACTGTTTGTTCAGGAACAGCAGAAATGAAGTCAAAATGACCTTGTCTCAGATCGTCTCAAAGGTCAGAGAAATAGAACACAAAAGCAATGAACACATCAGAACTAGAAGGGCCTCCAGTGCAGAAGCCTGCAGCATTAAGAGGATCTTCTAACTCTTACCTTTAAGAAAATAAAGGAGCTACTTGATGGGACTGTAGCTGCGAGTTCTGTCCTAAAACAAGATATATATATATAATAGTGAATAACTACTTCTACTTTCAGAAACGCTTGAACTTCAACACCAACACTTTCAGCTACCCCAGTGAGCTCTCAGAGAGCCATGCTACACGTACTTTTCCACTATTGGTGTTCAGCTTCACAAGGAAAGAAAATATTTTTTAAATTACCTCTCAAATCAAAACAGTGAGAAAGACAGAAGAGCTCTCAAGGCTCACACATGGCTTTTAGTCAACACGCCCTGCTGGCTGCATCCCTGGCTACTAAGACTGCCTCCTGCCACTTGTCAGTGGCTTCATGTGGCACTGACATCAACATTCATTCCAGGTAAGAGACAATGATCTCCTTTCAGGCTGCTGCATTGCTGACTTCCACTCTGGGTATGTATCATTGCTCCCAAAAGTGATGCAGAGTTCTCACATCCTCTTTCAGACCTGTAGAGAAGAGTCTCCTAGAAGCTTATGCAACTGGTCAAAGCTGGATCATATGAATCCTACAAACCCTTTCCAGAAGATTCCTAGAAAGCACATCCTAGTCTTAAATATAATCTCCCTCTTGGGCTTTAATGCTGCTTAAGTTATTTGTTCCACTATTTTTAGCAGAAAGGAAACATCTGCTTTGATGAGCAACAGGATCAGCACATACAAGACAATGCATCTTGCTAGCATGGCAAGCCAAGTACTTTCTGAAAAAAAAGTATGAATGTTCACTACTGTGCTAAGAACACACAGGAGATCGCTGATGAAGCTTCCTGTTGGAAACCAGAAGCCTTCTCTTGGGGATATCTAGGTGTTTTAGATGTTGACTGAGATAAGGAGACCATCCCTTCTCCTACGTTAGATGAGAGCACACTCTGCAAGTTTCACTTAAGTTACGAAGTTAAACATCAGCATTTTTAACTGCATTGCAGTCCCAGGCAGCGGAATCAACTGCTTGCCTGTACTTAGAATAGGCGCCTTAGAGGACGAGCAGATACAGCGTAACACAAACATTCTCAGCCTTTAAAAATCCCTCCAAGCCATTCACGACTTGGTAGATCTTCTCCACTGCCTTCAATCAACTCTTTCCCAGAAAGGCATTTTCCTACCTAACTCAGTTCCTCTTGACAAGGAAGCTGCTCCATGCTTTGGTCTTTCTCAGCGCTTCCCTCTGAATGTTTTCCTTCTGGAAGGAAACTCAAAACCACAGAAGTTATTCAGGATGTCAGCAAACCATGGCACAGACAATATAATCACTCTGCTTTGATCTGTTTTCTTGGTGGTTCATAGAGTTTGGCTTCCTAAAACAAACAAAAAGCAAACACCCAGCAGATCACACCGAATTCAGTCTTCAGGATGTGGATCACACTGCAGGTAAAGCTAGAAGTACCTCAACTCCCTAACCTTCCTACTTCCTCTGTGTATCATTATACCTTTTATAAAGTGGAACACCAAGTTCAAGGTGCAAGTCCCACCACTGCCTGGATGACCACTGTCATCCTCACCTACTTCACTCTTCCTTCTCCAAATAGCTTCACATCTGCATACTGTACTTTTTAAAAGAAAACAGGACTGTTCACCAGGATCACTCTTACTGTAAATCCTCACTTGCTATCAAAGAGGAGCACGCAGAGAGATTTGTTCCCAATCAGCTGATGCACATTAGCTGTGCTATACAGGCAACACGACCAGGCATTGAAGAATTCTGTGCTGTGAATCCCTGCTAATGTTTCACTTACTACAGGTGCAGCCAAAGAATCAGGACTGCTCTGCCAGGAGGCTTGCTGTTTTTCTTTCATTTCGGTGCAATGGAGCCGTTCCTTCACAGTGTGCTCACGGTGGAAGCTCAGAAGCACTGAGGACACCCCAGCACCACCACTTTTCCTGATCAGATCGGTGCCCATACTCCCTCCCCACTTCAACGACTTCCATCAGCTCAGATCTGCACAGCTGGGAAACTCAAGAGGTGGAATGACTGGCCCAAGGACATATGAAGAGATGAGAAGCAAGCGACACAAAGAGGACCATGCAAGAGAAGTTGCTTAAAGCCTAACAAAGAGAACGGCTCTTAAAGACTACAATGGCCCTCCTTGAAGCAGTTGCAGTGAAAATAAGCTCGCTTTGTTTTGATCCTCTCCTTTGAGCTTCAGAACAAGCTTCCGAGATACTTGTTTCAACTGTTTCAAGGTTACTGTAACGGAGGAGTTTAGTGCTGCACTTCTGACCCACCAAGATCTTCCACCCCTTCTTAAATAATGAGCAAGTTTCGTTTCCAAAGCTGATCTGAAAAGTAGCAGCCCGCCACGGTTAAGAACTGCAGGGAACAGCACTCAGATTAATTTGTAACTGACATTCAGTGACTCAGGGCTGTTAGAACGCCCCAGAACAAGAAATGCACCACTGGAGATGGGTTCATCGGCTCGCAGTGCTTGGCAACGTGACTCAGAAAGCTCCCAGTAAGTGCATTGCTCAATCGGCTCCAGTGACTCATTCTGCCCCTCTCCACAGCCAGCCCGGCGGAGGGAGGTTGTGCTGCATTGTTTTTGAGTTTCCTCGGGCTAACAGCTCATTGCAAGACAGCTGAAGAGCAAAGCCCAGCACTTCTTTGACTGTTTCCAAGTGCCTGCAAGCCAAGGCGACTAGCTGAAGCCTCTGGCTTAACGGTCTGTCAACCACATTTTCAGAGCTACGTTCCTTCTGTTTCACAGGCTTGAACATACGGCAACCCACTCCATACTGCTAGTTACCACGTTATTTTTCTGGTTATAACACAGACGGGTTTATTTTGGTTAAGGTGCAGAGGAGATCCATCTGAATACTGAATTTGCACCAGCTGGTGACTAATCAGATGGATTTAGAACAACAGTCCTCTTCCAACAGAGCCCCGTTTCTCCAAGCAGCTAACGGCTGGGGCTGGAGATCTGACTGAACGCTGTTCCTACAAATACCTACGGCCAGTTTGCTTCCTGCCCTGCTGCCAAGTGCTCACATTCCAATACGTTTCTATTCCAGACCATAAATAGAAGGCTGAAGCATCGTGAAGAGCATCAGAGCCGGACCACATACTTACATGCACTTACAAACCCACCGGAGTCAAGGCTGTGTGGAAATGCCTTAAGGGAACCTTAGTAGCAAAGTTACCATCTTAAAAGCCTGCTACAAAAAGCAGTAAGTACAAAAGCAGACCGCTGGGATGTGGATTTGAATGCATGTCAGACCTATGCCAGGAGTTCCTTTAAAAGCCAGACTTCTCCCTTTCACACCTACATTGTGCCACACACCTGGAATGCAGCTCGGTGCAGCAGCGTCCTGATGCCAGGCTGTCAGTAGCTTCAATTCTGAGGTGCAACACGTGGCTGGCCTGGGAGCTGCCCATGGACACGAGGCACTAACTGCAGCATCCGCACCAGAAGAAAAACACCTTTCTGCAGCTGCCCGTTCTTTAGGGAAGGAAAGACAAAGCTGAATTTCAGCCTGAGCCCTGGATGCACACAGACATTCAAACGAGTGATTTTCTCCAAAACTGATGTCCCATAACCTGAAGTCTTCCACGCGACACCATTTAGAACAGCACCAGCTTCAGCCAACAGGACAGACGTCACAACGTTGTTGCCTGACTTCTGAAAGTGCATGCACAGAACTGAGCACAAAAAAAGCTGACCTCAAATTCATTGCTCAGGAAAAACAACAAACTGCTACTCAGTTTCCTACAGCAGGATATTTCTCCCAGGTAAGAGGGGCTTGTTCTAGCCCTAAAAGAACAAGGCACTGCCTGGAAGAAACATATCAACAGCAATGTGCCAACAGCACAGCTTACGAGTGGTGGAACAAACATAAAAACTGAGAATATAAGCAATTTTCATTCAGGAAAAAAATGTGGTTGTCTATAAGCCTCCAAAACAGCTTCTCAGAGCCCCCCCAGCACAGTCAGCAATCTGCTGCTGCAGCGTAGGTCTGTGAAGCAAAACCATTAAGTGCCCTCTGAAAAGGCACAGAGGTAACTGCAGCCAAAGAGTAAGTGCTCAGGAGCAGCCTGACAGTAGGACAGCTCTTATACTGCAGCTACAGTTTCTCACTACCAGCCAAGCACCAGCAGCCTCAGAATTTGGAAAGCCTGGTAGCTCTGTGATCACACGAGTGTGTTCATCCACTGATTTTAAAAGACAGCTTTAGGAACTGCTGTATTTCACTAAGTCAGCTGTGAATTTGCCACTCTTGCTACAGTGAGATCTCTCCAGAAAAAGAGGCTTAGCACTACAGGTATGAAAATGAGCTTGTTATGTGGCCTGCTTAATTACCTTCCACTCAGCCATTGACAGAGCAAACCACTGAAGCCTGACCAACAGATCTATGTGGACTTGTGCACACCTGCAGACAAGCCCACGTCTTGGAGCAGGGCTGCGGCTGATAAGCTGCAAGCATCATGGAGGTTCCTGTGTCATCAAGGACAGTGGATGAATAGTGTGAAACGATCAGCAGCAAGCTCAGGAACCAGCTACTCTGGGATCATCACTGCTATGCAAGGGCTAGGTTTCCTCGCAGCACTGACATCACCTTGAATGAAAAGAGGAGTGTTCATTACGTACAGAGTCCATCTTGGAAGCAGCAACCACAAATCAGTCAATAAGCTGGCAGAGAGCAACCAACCCATTTAGTAGTCTATTAAAAGAAAGTTTGGGTTCTGACTTAACAGTAAGTAAGACTTCTGTGCATTAATGAGCTTATCCAGCTAAGCAGTTCGAGGTACATTAGCTGCTGGAGCTCTCATCCAGGAAGAAGCCAGGAGAGGTACTGCAGCTCTCACAGGACCAAGGGCAAACCCACTGTAACGGTTTCTGCATTCCAGCAGTCGCTATGATCTTGGACAAATGACAGCAGTAGAAGCAGGAGGCAGATTAGTCAGGCTGCTCTGGCAAACAAGCTATTTAGGAAACTAGTCTTTTCAAGCTAGCACTAGCTGTTATCAAACCCAAAGGCTTAAGGCTTACCTCGATGTCATCATGCACCAGCTAATCCGAGCACCTAAGCTTTGCTTAGAGTGATGCATTAGCCACTGTCCAGGAGGCCATGGGCCACACCTGGTTTTAAAGAAGAGTAGCTGCAATCCTGGGGAAGACAGGCTGCGTAATTTAATTAAGACACACATCGTGAGCTAAAGAGCTCCAGAGATAAGACGGTTTCAGAGGAACCGTTCCTATTTTAAACCCAATCCCATAAATCCCCACAGCCAGTGGGCAGGAAGAGAAGCACGTTGAACTCTTAGCAGGCTCCCCTCCTACAGCCTGCCTCTGCGTGCCGTGCTGCACGCCGCCAGCCTAGTGGGAACGAGAGCAGTCCTGATGCAGGGAAACACGACAGGCTCCATTATTCAAGCACCATGCACCCCCTCCACCTTAAAACACATTCACAGCCTTTAACTGTACAAGCTCAGGAAACTGATGCAAGACACCGCACTGCACTAGATAGCTTCATCTTACCTCTGCACCAAGAAGTACTGAAGCCAAGAAAAGTTTAACCAGGGTCACGTGAAGTGACCAATAAAGGCTTTGCTCTTCAGCAAATAACAAACAAAAAAGACACACAAACCCTGAGATACTGTCAAGCCCCAGAAAGAATCTGCTGTTCTCTCTGCTTCAAAAAACTGCAGGTATAATCCTTTGAACCCTCAAGACTCAACTGTTCAAAGACTAGGAATGTGCTGTCTCAAGAGAGGGGAGAAGCCAGCCACAATATACTTCATAGACATCACAAATGGCTGGAAGAAAATATGGCCCATCTTCAGCCCAAAGAATGCCGGGTATCTTTGTCACTAGATGTCAGTAACATGGCACTGCCTACAGAAGAGGAACAATGTCCCTGCTCTGACAGGGAAAATATGGAAGTAGGCAGCTTGGCAGCGCCTCATCAGACTGGAGATTGTCCCTGCGAGCAACTCACTGGAACAAGTCTAGCTTTTACAACAAAAAAGCAGTTACTGCAGTTCTGATGGCATTTACGCTAATGCTGCCCAACAAGACTCACACACCCGCATAAGCCCAAGCGTGGATACAAATCTAACACAACCAGGCTCTGAGCCACTGAAGCCACTCAGATGTGCTTATCTGGGAAAGTTCCAGGCTCAGATTCTGGAAGCCTTAGGCTAAATCTTCAGGGTAGCTTTGTCATCCTGGAGTGGGGAGAAAGCAGATCTTAAGACCACACAGCCGATAGGCAGAGTCGTTTCCCAGTGGGGACAGCAGTCAGCTGCACCGAGCAACAAACAAGGCTGCGTTTCCTGCAGCTCTGCAGGATCCAAAGCCCGGCCCGGGGAAGGAAGGAAGAGGAAACGCATCCATAGGAACTGCTGGATAGGGGCCCACTTTATGCTTCGGCACAGCATCAGCAGAGCCGCTCTGCGTCTCAGCAGGTTTCCCATAGGGGAAGCCGAAGCTGATAAGCCGCGGCCGAGCTACCTTACGTCCAGCAACGGCGCAGATGAACGATTCCCGGGAAGTTCCCGCCGATCCGATTAGAGGACCTTTGCTCGGGCTGACCCGGCACGTAGCCGGAGCCCTTCCCCACGCTCCGCGTGCCACAACGATCCCACCCGAGGCCCCGCGGCCACCGCTTCGGCCCCGCCGCTAAAACAAACGGCCGAGCCCGGAGCGCATCGCACCCCGTCCGCATAGCCCGGCTCGCTGCCCTGCCGTTCCGCGCGGCGCGGCCCGCCGTCACCCCTAGCGCTGAGGGGAGGCGGCCCGGCGCTGTCACAGCCGCGGACCCCCGGCCCCGAGGGAACCGACGCCCAGCCGAGCCCCGGCCGGCCCCCAACCCAACACGGGGACTGAGTCCCACCACCGCGCGGGGAGGAAAAGCGGGCCGCCCGGCCCCTGCGCGGAACGCCTCACCTGCCGCCGCCCGCCGCCGCTCGCCGCCCAGCGCCCAAGATGGCGGCTGCCGCCCCCCCTTCCCTCAGCGCCCCCCCTATCACTGCAGAGCCGCCGCCGCGCATGCCCCGCCCACGCCCCGCTGGCAGTGCGCAAGCGTCAAGAGCGGAGGAGGGGCTTGGCTGCTGGGGCGCGGGAAGGGCTGAGCCGTGCGGTGCATGCTGGGAGCTGTAGTCCTGCGGCGCGGGCAACCGCTGGGAGTTGTAGTTCGGGGGGGGGAGGAGGAGGGTTGCAGATAGCCGTTAGGCCTGTGCGTGGGGCTGTAGGACGGTGAAGGGGAGACCGCCCTCCACCCTGCGGGCCTGAAGCCCCGCTGGTTCTCACTGCCCTCTATGGGGCTGGCACCCATGAACGGGCACCCACAGACCGCCAGGCCCAAGCCTGCTTCCAGCCCAACGGAGAACGGCCTGAGCACCCCTTCCCAGAGGGATGTGGCTGCAGAGTGAGGGGCAGAAAGGGGAGCGAGAAGGAGGAGGCTGGTACAAAACAAAACACGAGGCAGCAGTCCAATAAAACTATGTTTATAAATAAAAACAAGGAGATTGGTTCTGTTCTTATAAAACCCAGCGGGCAGGGCAGGGTGAGGCAAGGCAGCGAGCAGGACCCGGGGGTGCAGGGGGCAGTGCCATCACACTGCATCCCATGGGCACGGGGACGGGCGTGAGGGTGCGGGGGGGAACATGGGGCAGGAGGGCACAAGGCAGAGCCTAGGAGCAAAATACATTTCATCTCTGGAGTATAAAAGAACCGCAAACAGAAAGAGTGAAGGAGATGACGGGAGGGCACTGAGGGTGCAGGCAGCCATGGCTACACTCCTCCTTCCCACAACCCAGCAGGAGCGGAGAGGAGCGGCTCTGAGAGAAGGAAGAAGGATGAGGAGGGTTGGAGCAACTGTGTGGCCCAGCAGAGCTGCAGCCCCTGCCCACAAAGCTCACATCCCTCCCAGGCATCATACACAGGGAATGGAGCAGGGTAAGGCCAGCGCTGTCCCTCTCTGCAGACAAACACAGGGGACCTCTGTGTTCCCCCAGGTGTGCCTTCCCTCACTCATTGGCTGCATTCTCAGCTCTCAAAGAGGTCCGACTGCTGCACGGCAAAGCAATGGTGGTGCCACAGCTGCCCCAAGGACCGCCCCTGCAAGTGACTGGGGGCAAAGAGCAGGGCAGAGGCCCCCTGTAGGCTTCTTCAGGTCAAGCGAGCACTCGCCCCATGGCGCCATGTCCCACAAGTCCCATAAGGCAGGGGGCACGGCCCCAGTGCCAAGGACAGGGCAGGGGGAAGGACGGCTCTGCCCCAGGCAAGCCTGGCCCAAGGCTGGGGCACAAAGGGGAAGCAAAGGGTAGCATCTCCCCATTCCCCACAGGCACTGAAGCCCTGGAACATTCAAGCATTGGCTGAAAGGCAACTACAAAGGGATTTAAAATTCATGTAAGGCTGGGCCCGGCTCCCCTCTCAGGGCGTCTTCCGCTAGGGGGAGAAAAGCAGCCATCTTCAGCGCCATGCGCGCCCAGCGCCCTTGGAGCTCCGTGTCCTCCTGTCGGGCCACGCCACGCTCCAGCTCTCCCCCCTGTGGGCAGCAGGCTCAGAGAAAGTCAAACACCCCGTAATTCTTTGCTGCTTGATAGAAGAAACACAAAAGGATGAAAAGAAAGAAGAGATGTTTAGGGCGGAAGGAGTGAGGCAGCAGCGACACACGGGCAAGCAGCACAGGGTGCTGGGATGGATGCGGATTAATGGGGTTAGAGAGGATGGCAGGAGGGAATTACCATCAGGAGGGAATAACCATCAGCAATACATGAGTCTGGTGGCGGGATGGGCTGGTGGTACGCAGCAGGCTGCCAGGACTGTCCACCCCACTTAAGGAGGGATTAGAATCAAGGTTTAGTTCCATTTATTTTTTTTTTCCCTTTTTTTTTTTTTTTTCTTTTACTTATCAAGACAAAAAAAAAAAAAAAAAAAAAAAAAAAAAATCCCAAAAAACAAGGGGTGAAGCCAGGGCTGGTCCTAGGAGACAAACCATGGGGATGGAAGGGGAAAGGAGGGGCAGCAGACAGACAGGGGACGGGCGCTTCACATTACATCCACAAAGAACTCACTGGGGTTGCCCATGGCCATTCGGAAGGACTGTCTACTGGCTGTCAGTTCGGGGGGCACAGAGGCCAGGTCACGGCCCGGTGGCGCCCCAGGGGGCCCCATGGCTGACGGCGGTGGAGGCATCAGCAACATGGGGGGGCTGAAGAGAGGGGGGAGGCCGGGCGGGCCGTACGACTGCTGGCTGTGGTGGCTGCGGATGCTGTGAGCCAGAGAGTGCTGGCTACGCTGGCTGTGCTGGCTGGCAGGCACCGAGCGCTCGCTGGCCGCACGCTCACGCCGCATGCTGCTCCTCGTGGTGTGGTCTGACTCGCTCCCGCTGCCGCCGGACTTGGACTCCCCGGTCTTCTCTCTCTCCTTCCTCCTCTCGCTGCCACTGCGATTGGAACCACTGCTCCGGCTCCCTGCAAAGTACACATGGTGACGTTAGGAATCGGCGGGGACAAGCCAGGAAGAAAGGATGCTCCTCTATCCAAGAGAGGACTTGAGCACACTGCAGCACTGCCATCTGTCTGCACACTCCATGCTCTCAGTCTCTCAATGCTGAGTCACATAACCCTTCTGGACTGCACCAAAATTAAGGCTTTTACGCTTGCTTCCCCCAAACATAAGGTGCTGCCTAAAGGAGCAGCCTTCTCCTGCTGCATCTGCCCACACAGGCACATTTTGATATTTTCCACTCACCTTCACTGTGCTGGCTGCCTGCACTGCCCCCTCCGTAGCTGTAGCTTGGGTCAGGGAAGCCGGGATGGGGGTTGTATGGGTGAGGTGGTGGATACTGATATGGGAAAGCCATGGGCCAGGGTGCAGCTCCTGGGTGTGGGAGCGGAGCCAAAGTGTCCTGATCTGAAGCACCGCTGGAGCCATCATGATCGTGAAGGGACAGGTTAGCCATGTCTGCAAGAAACAGAGAAGAGAGGCTAAGCCAAATGGAAAGACAGCCGCATGTGATGCTGAAGCTCTATGTCCACCCTCACAGGTGATAATGATGGGGCACGAAAGGGGATTAAAGAACTTGGCACCCTCCCTGCCATGAAATACAAGTATTTCGCTTCCTGGCTGGAAAACAGTTTGATCAAAACCAAATTGCCACATCAGAAAGGACCACATCACAGCTATCTTCTACCTCACCAATTAACTCCCTCTACCCGTCTCATTTAAGTAGATCTCAGCTGTCTGAGCACCAGCCCTTTCCAACCCTGGCAATACAGGGCCTTGAAACAGAGCAGGAAAAGACTAAGATTACGGAGGTGAAATGATCATAAAGCACGTGACAATGCTGCCTCCAACCTCACAAACAAATTGAGCTATTCTTCATCCCACCCTACCAGAGTCTGCAGAACAAGGAGCTCAGTCTGGTGGTAATAACTGTAGGTGTGCTCTCATGTTGTTAGCAGAGCCCTGCAGGGCTTTGTCCCCCTTCATCTCTTCCCTCCCACCCAGGCCAAAAGTCAAGTGTCATACTTCCGCAGAGGTCCCCGAAGATATAATAGCACTGTTCAGAGAAGGTGATCTTGTTCACGGTGTGTCGGATGTAGCCAGCCTTCAGCAGATTGCTGGCATATTTGCGGGACTCACGGCGGTCCGTAAAGCCTTCCACGTGGTGATACAGCCAGTCCACCACATCCGAACCTGCCACCAAACGTCAGAGTTAAACACGAGAAAGAGGAAGACAGTGGCCCTTGAAGTAGTGGGCCATAAAGTTGGTTAAAAGCATAAAAAAGGGACTTCACAGCCAACGGTTCAACCTGTGACAATGGCTTTGTTAAGTCAGTTTACACTGAAGAGATGCTCCCTTCATTCATGTTTTCTTGGGAGACAGACCACCCACCCCCCATCTCCCTGCCTCTGCTGGAAGCAGCACAGTCTCTTACCAATGAAGGCATTGGGGATGGTGATCTTCAGCCACATGCGATCACGCACCTCCAAGCCTGACTCTGGTGAAGCCATGGCTTTGACAATGGTGGCCATGTCACTGTGGATGGACAGGTGAAAGTCATCGAGGCCTGTGACAAAGGGCAGGGAAGCAGAGATGAGAAAAGACAGAAAAGACAACAGCACCAAATGGAAGAATCACACACATGGAAGGAATGGGCCAGGGAACAATACATCATAGACAGCCCTGTGGTGCAACATAACTCCCTTCCAGTTTTCACATGTTATCCTTCACAAATCAGTCATTTCTTAACGTGCAGAAAAAGTCTCCTTCCTTCCAGCCAGTCCCAAGCAGCTAAGATCAGCTAAGATCCCAAGCAACTGCCAAAAGAGCCTAGCATGGGAATTCACTGCTCCTCATAAACTTAAACTTCTGTCTTTTTGGCCCAGATGAGCTCTTTAGACCCCTGCTTCAGGGCTCTGCAGACCAGAATTACCCAAAAATCTTGAGAAAGCAACCAAACCAGCCATGTATTCTGCAGGTCCCTCCC